ATGTAACTTTATAAATAAAGACGATTTATTATTATTATTATTATTATTATTATTATTATTATAATACGTACAACATCAAAGGTGCATTTTTAATATTTTCTATATTAGTACAAATAGTTTAAATTTTAGGTCTGATTATTTATAGGCGTCATTTTCAGACATCTCAAAAATTATTTTCTATTATAATATCAATCTGTTATAATAAGTTGAAGACCTCGGTTCAAATAACCAGGTAGGTCAATTTTTTTTCAAAAATTGCGTTTTTGAATATTCTAAGTATTTAGATCATTGCGGATCGTTTGGCGCTAAAATCGAGTAAGCCCAACAGCATAGGATTTCACTTGCCTGGTCAAGGATTGGTACCATAAATCTGGCAAGTCCCCTCTAAAAAAAGGCAAGAAATGCATACGCTGCTCTGAAAAATGGCCATATCCATATTCCCGATTAATGGAAGGAACGAGTAAGTTCAGCTTCAAAAAAGTTTAAAGTTGTAAATGTCGATCAGAACATGATCACGGATTTTGCAGCACATCTTAAAGCTTTTTTAAATCTGCTTTTGTTAGCAAAGAAAAACATAAGTTTAGCATTTCAAACTACTGACTTTTTCAGTACCAAAAAGGATTAAAAATATGGAATGGAGTGTTGCAATGTCCATCCTAGTTTTTTCAAGGTTTTATATTGAAAAATAGAATGTGATATTGTGCTTTCCAAGTTCACATATGATACAACCCTATCATGGAGTGTTGCAATGTCCATCCTAGTTTTTTCAAGGTTTTATATTGAAAAAGTGAATGTGGTATTGTGCTTTCCAAGTTCACATATGATACAACCCTATCATTTACCACTTAATGAAAAAAATGCTGCTGATATTTAACCTTTATCAGAAAAATCGATCTGTGGTGCTATAGAAAGATCTTCGAAGAATCCGAAAATATTGTAGTTCCACAAAAAAGTAGTTAGTCCAGGTAATAATGCTTGTCACTCCGATTCATCATTTATGTAATTGAATATTTATTTTTGTTACTCCTTTTTTAAGTTGTTATGGTTTTGATCTCCTTGATTATTAAAACTGTTTGAACTATTTTCAATATTATTCAATGTTCTGGGCAAGAACCAGGTAAATCCAAATTTTCAACAAAAAAAAAATAAATGTTTGGGTTCATGTTTTTATGTTATTTCATATTAAACAGATTTTTTATTACCTTCTCTATACCCTAAAATAAAATGTATTTTTTCATATTTTTAAAACAAAATATTAAGTTTTTTTCAATTTCCCAAAAATTTCTATAATGAGACTTACCTGGTTTTTGCTCCGAGGTCTTCAATTACAACACAAAAGCAATGAATTACTCGATTTCTTGATAAAAGCCTAATTTTATGGACAAATTGTCAATAATCATTTACTTATTATTTATTGTTTCCATGGATGATGTGACTTGCTTGAATGAATATACAATTTTTTGAAACAAACAGCTACAACGCAGAAACCGGTTGGAAAAAACCAGTAACAATCTTATATTAAAAAAAGCTCATTTAAATGGGGATCCGATAGTGAAAAAACATACGGTGTTCCATTTATTTTTTGCGAAGAAGTACATTTTGCGTTTTGACCCCTAAAACTGAGGACAGTGAAATTGTTTGGACACAGAATTTACTTCTCCAGGTTAGCAGGTACGCGAACTATCAAACTTTGATATTTTTTTAGCTAAAATACCCAATATCTCTAACTAATTATCAAAACCTATAGATATGTTATACCAATCACCTTGTATTGAATGCGTCTATCCGGATATGTATTAAAAGGTGGGGGGCATTCCATTTTAAAAAAGGTCAACTTTGATATGTGTCACAATTGGGATACCGTGTATAATTGTGAATATTTCAGAAGTATGCCTGCAGATTCCAATCATAATAAACCATAAATAGTTTTGTTTTAATAGTTTTTATTTAGGACCAATATCTACCTGCACTTAGTAGTAAACAACAGCCAGTAAAATCTGGTATTAGTTATTCGTTGAATGCTATTCAATCCAAAATTATCTAACATACTAAAATAAAACCTCTGAAATATTATTTATAGTTTTATTACTGTGACAGCCGCCCAGAACGAATCTAGAAGGTACGGTAATTCATTGAAATATTAACGATTAGATCTAAACATACAGGGAAATTTTAATCCACCGGGGCTAAATGAAAAAATGGCATGCTTGTTATCCACAAGAAAATACTGGAAAATCTATTTTAAGAATCTTTTCCGATACTTGATTTCCAAGAACATTGATGGTCTTTTTATTACCATTCTCTGCTGAATGCTATTTATATGGTAACGAAAAAGATGAACCACCACAGAAGTCAGCCAATCGGAACATAGATAGTTTAACACAAAAGTGTTACACGGTGTTCATTTGAAAACCTCCCACTACGGATTTATCGAGAACCACTGAGTAAAAGAAAAAACACCGAGTCACGTCAAAAGATTTGTTAAGGGGGAGAACTTTTTAACCAAAAACTACTTCATACCCTTTCACCCTCTGCCCCCTAGGGTAATCCCCTTAAAATTTTTAAATGACAAGGGGTAGCTTGTTTGGAAGGTCTTTCGAAGTCATTTATTTAGACGCTTGATTTTTTAATGTCGGTCGATTCATTTTGAAGAAAATTAGAAAAATCTCTATCTTAATTTGTTCAGACAGAAATAAAAACTCGAAAATATCACTTTTTATTTCAATAAGTGTTGCTAGGGTTTGCCAAATCTACAATTCGTTTATAATTCAAAATGGAATCTATCAACATAAACAACAATTCGGAAGATTAGACGTGGCAACAACCGAATAACAACAAACATAAATATCCTGGACGAACTGCATTTACCTGTTTAGTTATTTGATTTTAAGGGAAAGAAAGAATTTAATTTGCTGTCAGTTACCTTCGTGACAATCTTGGGATCGTGAAAATTAATTTATTGATTCAGATTTTACTACCCAAATGGTTTACACACTAGCCTAAGGAGTGGGGATGATTCTAATGGATGGTGCCCAAAATCAATGTGCTCGGCAAACTGTAGACACGTTTAATGCCAGAAATCCGGGGAAGATAACTTCGCATAGGTATGTTCTGGATCTTTTTACTAAATTTACTCAAACTGGATCTGTTGCAAATAAAAAAACGTGATCATCAGAGAGTCTTGGATGAAGCCGTTCAAGTTGAAGTTTTGGGTCATTTTGGAATAAATAAAATACTTCATTACCCAAAATTGTTACTGAGACTGGCATTTCATTAGGCTCTGTACACCCAGTTACTAAGCTCCATAAATTTTATCCATTCAAAATAAAAATAAAATCCTCATGCTTTTGTATAAGGTCACACCCAGTACCTCCAGAAAATTAATGTATGGGCAGGCATTTTAGGAAACAAAGTGATTGGGATATTGTTTATTAATGGAAATTTGAATGGAGACATTTATTTGGATATGTTGGAAAATATCGTCAATTCGCTTATCACCGAAACCATTGAAAACTTAATTAAAGAAGATGGAAACCCTATACTTGATTAGGCTGAAATATAATTCCAGCAGGACTATGTCCTTCCGGTTCGGCAATGGCTAGACGACAAGTTTCCAGATAAATGGATAGGGCTAAGAGGGCCTAGAGAATGGCCTGCTAGATCGCCTGATTTGGCGCCATTAGACTTTTTTCTATGGGGCGATTTGAAATATATTGTGTTTATTCCATAACCTGAAAGTTCGGATAAAGTTCGTCAACGCATCACCAAAAGCTTCCATGATATCCCACAACATGTTTTTGAAAATGTCCGTCAGGAATTTGAACATCGCCTATATCATTGTTTGGCCAATGACGGGCAACATTTTGAACCCTGTGAAATGAAAAGAGATATTTTCATGTGATCTTGTTTTCTATCTGAAAAATTAAGATAAATAAAGATCTTTCTAATGTTCTTGAAAACGAATCGACCGATTATGAAAAATCAAACGTCAAAATAAAGGACTCCGAAATACCATTTAAACCATTGATTCCCAAAGAGGTCTATATCGACCCCTAGGGGTCTATGACAACCTGCAAGGGGTCTACGTAAGCGAAAAAAAATTTGGGGGTCCATGAAATGAATATGGGGGTCCACGATAGTGGATCCCAACACATACACTGATAGTACCTATTTACTTACATCATACTATCTTATAATATCAAAACATATACATTATTTATAAAAGTACCTATGAAGTAAAAAATGTATTATATATATGTTTATTAAATTGTGTAAGTTGTAGGATGTTGGTATTCGCCTTGTGGTCGCAATATATTTTGAACTTGTAAAAACCTGAGAGTCTCAGTCTCAGAGCTTCGCTACGTTGCACTGACTTGTTCAATTCGTCACTCTATAAATACGAATGTGGGACAAATACGTTTGTTCGTTTCCTGAATCTTGAAAAGGAAAGTGCTAAGAAAATATTTTAAAAAACATAAACAGATAGTATATCACACAAATTATAGTGAGTCAGTGTTATTTTGTTTGAGAGTGCTGGAGAAAAGTAAGTACATTATTTTTTATTAAATTTTATTTTGGTACTCGTAGTTAGCCAAGATAGATAAATTACGCCAATCATGACTTTAGTTATTAGTAGTGAAATATTCAATGATGCAAAATTACACGAGTACTCCTCAATAGTTTCTTTTTGAAAGTTTTAGCAATCGGTAATATAATTACAGTGCAATCTCCGTGATTCGAGCTAATTGTTGCAAGAAGATGTTCGAATTATGGAATGTTTCCGGAAAAATCAAAAAATATTTTTAATATATAGCTACTGGATTTTCTGTCTTATTTAAATAATTTAATTTTGCCCACAGATGACTGATGCCATGTCCGAATCTAAAAAGAAATGTAGACAGTACAGTGTTGATTATTTGAAATTTGGCTTCATTCCGTCATTGCCGGACAAACAATCGGCTATGTGCCTTTTATGCAACAAAGTTTTGGGCAATGACGCTATGAAACCATCTAAACTGCAAGATCATCTGAGAAGATGCCACCCTGATAAAACAGAGAAAGATTTGAAATACTTTCAAACGCTCAAACATAAATTTCAGAAGAGACCTACACCGGACAGAATGTTCGCTTCGACGTCATTAAGAAATGGTGATGGTTTGCGGGCGTCTTACAATATCTCGTTACTTATAGCAAAATCCGGAAAACCGCATACTATCGGAGAGAAGTTAATTTTGCCAGCCGTTGAAGAGGTTTAAAAAACTGTTTTACACAAACCTGCATCTGATATCATTAAAAGAATTTCCTTAAGCAACAATACTGTTGAAAGACGTATTGATGAAATGAGTTCTGATATTGAAAGCTTCTTATGTAATTATTTGCAAACGACCCATTTCTCTATACAACTGGACGAGTCAACTTTACCTGATAATGCAGCATTATTATTGGCATATGTTCGTTTTATTATGAATCCAAAAATCTACGAAGAACTGGTCTTCGCAAGAACTTTGATAACCGACACTAAAAGTGAATCAATATTTCATGTTTTGAAGGATTACTTCATTGAAAAAGCAATTCCTTTATCAAATATAATATCAGTAGCTACAGCTGGACCACCTGCCATGGTTGGACGTTATCGTGGATTTATCAGCTATTTAAAACAAAATGTGTCAGGGGTGTTAGCAATACATTGCGTCATCCATCGACAACATTTAGTTGCTAAAAATTTGAGTGTTAGATTGCATGAATCACTTCATTTAGTCATTGATGCAGTAAACCGAATCAGAAGCAACGCGTTGAATACGCGGTTATTTGCGCAGTTGTGTGAAGAAAATGATGAACACTTTCATCAATTACTTCTTCACACTGAAGTACGCTGGCTGTCGAAAGGCTTATGTTTGACAAGAATTTTTGCACTTTTTGAGACTATTTTAGAATTTCTGTATACTAAGATAAAATTTTAAAAGAAAATTTAATGAAGAGGAAAACAGACATCGCCTATTTAACAGATTTGTTTAAAAAATTTAATATGGTTAATTTGCAATTACAAGGCGACAGTTTAAATTTGATTAAAACAAAGTCCATCGTATCAGCGTTTCTTGCCAGATTTAAACTAATGAAGCAAAATATTGGACGGGGCGAATTTTCTCAGTTCCCCAATTTGTCACAGACAAGCTGCCAGGAAGACGACGTTTCAACTTACGTTCAACATTTAAATGCCCTCTATTCAGATTTTGAATCTAGGTTTGAGGATATTTTGACTATGGTAATACCACCGTGGATAATTAATCCATATGGTGACATAGAAGAAACGAATGTCAAAATACAAGAGCATCTGACTGAACTAAGTACAAACGAAGAACTTAAGGTTCAGTTTAAAAACGGATATCAGCAATTCTGGCTACAAAACAACATACCCGTTACTTATCCCGTATTATGGAATATAGCGAGGAAATTTTCAAATTCCTTTCCATCGTCATACCTAGTGGAAAGGCGTTCAGCGCTGTTACCAATCTCCTAACGAAAAAAAGAAACAGACTGGACATCATTATCCAGCAGACTTAAGATTAGCCCTTACAAAATTGACGCCAAATGTTGATAATTTATTATTAAAGCATCAGGTTCATCCTCTCACTAAAAATATTGGCTTATTGCTTATGTTATTTTATTTATAGTTTATAGAAAATATATATATTTTTTTAATTATTCTGAAAATTCAAGGATAGGTACACACTAAAATTCGTTAATTTTTTGCCTATTTTTAGATAACTTAAACGTATAAGAAGCGGAATTTAATCAAACTAACAGTGAAATTATTGTAGAACATACGTTTATATTATAATTAATAAACGAAATCGCTTACTGTGTTTTAAGTAAAAAACTTTTTTTTATTATTTTTCACATTTTTTTTATTTTATCCCTCTTATTTTTTTTGTCAATGCGGGCACTCATTCCCAATGCGGGCACTTATTGGTCAGACACCTGTTTATTTAATGTTACGTATATTTTACATAACAGATACAAAATTTTATTTTGAGTAGTTTTAATTCAAATTCAATTAATAAATGTATAAATTAACATGTGTTTTTACTTCAAGTTTTTAACACTAAACTTCACTGCAGTTAGAAATTTACAGGAAATCAATATCAGGTAAGATGGGGTTCTACCCAACACGGAAAAACATGGCAAGGGGTCTACGACACAAAAAAGTTTGGGGATCTCTGATTTAAACAAATTATTACTCGATATCCCTTATCTTTGAGAATTTTTAAGGGGATGACTCTGGGGGGCAGAGGGTGAAAGGGGGTGAAGTAGTTTTTAGTGAAAAAGTTGTCCCCCTTGACAAGTATTTTGAAGTGTCTCGGTGTTTTTTCTATTTTTTCGATAAATATAACTATATAACTGTCACTGTCTAATAATCTCTCATTATCTATGTATTTATTAGATGTTTCCTTGATAATCTAAAGTTAAAGAACTCAACTATATACTCACTTGCCCTTCATAGTCTAATCATATTAGACGAAAATACCCCTGGTTTGCGAAAGAATTGTAAAGTCTCTCTTTATTGCTGAAAGTTGTTCAAGGGGGTATTCAAAACATGGACGCATAAAATGGATACACCAATTTTTGTGGGAAAACTTTATTCGACATCAGAGAATGAGAAAACGTGTTTTTTGGGATTCAATCGAAAGTGTTGGCAGGAACTAAAAAACTCTTCATATAAGATATGAGACCTTCAAAATGAGATCACACGTAAAAAGATCCGACCGGTTTTGCCACTTGTTACTTCAAATTCGCAGGATTCGTACTTCTGAATAACAACAAAATTGGAGTAGATTGGTCAAGTAGTTTTTAAGAATTTCTAATTGTTTATCCCAAAACACCTGCTTTCCGACCATCACTACTAGTTTATTGAGCAATATACAGGGCGAGTTCAAAGGGCATTTTATAGCAAAATACTTGAGTTTACCTTGTCGATATGAATCGCAAACCATTCCGGCAGATAAATGTTATTATTATGCAAAAAAGGATCGGTTACCTTTTTACTTCTAAACAAATTCAAACATTTCGTATTTGTGAGTAATTCGCAACAAAATGATAGAAACATCGGCTTTGTTTTAAAATGTGTATATTAACGTATGTTTTTCGAATATCGTAGCGCATTTGTTCAATTGCTCACAAATATGAAATGTTTGATTTTTTTAGAAAACAAAACGCTACCTTTGTTTTTCGCATAAAAATGATATTTATCTTTCGGAATGGTTTGTGATTCGTATCAGTAAGGTAAATTCGTGTATTTTGCTCTAAAATGCCATTTGAGCGAACCCTGTATATTGCTCAATAATGGCCGGAAAACAGGTGTTTTGGGATAACCAATTAAAAATTCTCAAAAAACTACATAACCAGTTTACTCCAATTTTGTTGTTGTTATTTAGATGCATGAATCCTACGGATTTGAAAAATTTCAAGTAGTTGCGTGAAATTATCGTCGCATTACCAACAAGTGCCAACACCTGCATTTTGCCTCGTTTTACGACCATAATATTTTACGTTTGGTCTCATTTTGTAGGTATCATAAATACCTAAAAATCTTATAAGAAAAGTTTTTTCGTTCCTCCCAACACTTTCAGTTGAATCCCAAAAAATTCCCACTAAAATTTTATGCGTCCATGTTTTGAATACCTCCTTGAACAACTTGCACCAATTATTTCGGGGAAATTTACGAATATGATTAGACTATCAAAATATCTGATAGCTACATAAGCACAGGTGAAAAGGAAACTTCCAAAAGCATTCCTTAAACAAAACACTTACCTCTTCGTCTAAGTCTGGACACATCTGGCTGACTCTTACTATAATCCGCTTGTCTCAAGCTTCTCAACGAGTCCTCGAACTCTCTTTTGCTTACTTCATCGTTGTCCGACAGATTCGGTTGCGAATACGCGAACCTTCTAGCCTTAGGCTTATGGATCTCGGTCGGAGGAGAAGGCCTTCTTTCCGGAGAGGAACTCTCCAAGCTATACACGCTAGACTCTCTGTCCGGGGTAACCGTTGAGATACTCGAGTCTCGCCAGTTAACTTCCGAAACCACCGGGGAGAAATGGACACCTTTGGAATTTGTAGAGCCCGCATAACTAAGGGTTTTTTCATCGGCGTCTGATAGCCCGCTGGTGCTGGTGCTCGACTTGATGATGCTGTTCTTTCGCCTTATGTCATACGCCGACCGTCTTCTTTCCTCGTCGAAACAGGATTTTTCCGGATTGCGCTGGTTTATGGCGGCCAAGTTCGGAGTGCTGGCAATGTTTCTTTTCTCAGAAATCGGAGTAGAAGCAAATGCTTCATCTACACGTCGGTCGGTGGTAATGGTAAGATTTTGCGTACTGCTCAGGATGCTTTGAAGGCTCTGCTCGGAGATCGCTTTCAGTACTCGCTTATCAAACTCAACTATAGCATGCTTGGGAAGCTTCGGTTTGTTCCTGTTGATCAAGCTGTGCTCATCATCGCTTAAATCCACTCTGTTAGCCATAGCCTCCGCATAGCTCCCTTCCCTCTTATATTGGCCAGTATTCTCCATCGTGGCCATCACTGCATTATCTACTAAATTTTTCTCCGGCTCGGACTCCTGCGGCTCTTCTCCAGCGAGGCAGTCCAGGTCCTTAGGCACGCTAGAAGCACTTTCCTCACTCGCGGTGATAGAATCGTCCAAAAAGTCGGCAAGGTTCCAGTCTTTCGCGGCGACGGACTCCTGGGGAGACACCTGGTGTGACACCTGGGAGTCTTCTCCAGAGAGGTAGTTCAGGTCCTTAGGCACGCTGGAAGCACTACTCCCCGCGACAGTGTCGATCGCGACTTTGCAACTGTCGTCGCCGGCACAGGCCTGTAGCAAGTCGGGTTCACTGCAGGACAGCTGTCTAAAATTATCTACGCATTCTGCCCGGTCTAATTTTAGGGTTCTCGTCACGGCGCCGGTCGTCGAGGAGCTTTTGGCGAAGTGGTCCATCGCGACCGAGGATGACTTCGGGGACTTCAAGGAGTCCAGGCGGTTGGCAGTATCTGAGGTATTGAAGATGGTCAGGTCATGGTAGCTGATGCCGAAGTTGCCGCTGATCTGCTGAAACAAAAAAAAGTTTTATTTCAACTTTGATCCTTTAGAATGGTTAAATAATAATAATATTTATTCGCCAAAATACAAAAAATGGGCAAATAAATATGAGAAAAACCACAGAAAGCATCGCCTGTGTGTGGTTTATATCTTAATAACTAACAATCAATCATATATGTGTATAACAATTATTGTTAAATCTAAAAGGTATTAATTTAATTGGAATTTTGTAGTTTTAGTTTTCTATATAATTATGTATAGTCATTCGCTGCACATTACTAACCCAGTCTTTCAATTTTCTTCTAAATTTTTTTCCAAAATTAAGTATCTTTATTTCGTTTGGTACTACATTATATAATTTAGCTGCTAAGAATTTAAATGATTTTTTGAATAATGTTTTGTGTGGTCTTTGGATATTAGATGAGCCTATTCGAAATCGTGTGTTATGCTCGTGTTTATAGGATTTTTTCTTTTTATTACAATACTTATGGTATAAGGTGGTGGCATGTAAGAAATAAAGTTCTCTTGTATCAAGTATCCCTGTTTCTTGATATAAGTTGTTCGTTGGATATAATCTTGGCTTATGGAAAATGGCTTTCAAAACAGTTTTTTGTGCTATATTCAGGTCAGAAATATATGTCTTGCAGGCGGCACCCCAGGCTGTGATGCCGTATATTATATGGGTTTCAACTAAGGCATGGTATAGGATTCGCAGATAACTTTCTGTAAGAATGTTAGCAAGCATTTTGAGTTTATAGGCAACATTTCTAATTTTTTTGATAACATATTTAATATGGTTATCCCACCTTAGATGTGAGTCTATAAATATTCCAAGATATTTCAAAGTGTTAACTATATCGATTTTGGTCTTTTGGCCATGATAATTAACGGAAATTTGTTCGAAGGTAGGTAAAAATTTAGAATTTTAGTATCAAACCAATCCTTTTCACCTATTTGCTTCAGTGTGCTCCAGTCATCAGCTTTATATAATACGAGGGTGTCATCTGCAAAACATATAATCTTTCCAGAACTGTTAATTTTGAATAAGTCATTTAAGTAGAGACTAAATAATAGTGGGCCTAGTACTGTTCCTTGAGGCACACCACACTTGATGTACATTTTTTTACTGTAAGTGTTAGTGATTTTGACAGTCTGTGCCCGACTTGAAAGGTAATTTTTTAAAAGGATTTGTGATGCTCCCCTAAATCCCAATCTTTCCATAACTTTCAGAAGCTCGACATGGTTAACCGTATCAAAGGCATTTTTTAGATCAACAAAGATACCAATCTTTTTGTTGACATTAGAGTTAATTTCATCCATTGCAGCCAAAATTGCATCTGTAGTAGATTTTCCTTTTCTAAATCCATATTGGTCAGAACATATAATTTTGTTTTTGTCCAAAAATTGTAATATCCTTTTTTGTAGTAATTTTTCGAAAATTTTGGCTATATTCGATAGTGCTGATATGGGTCTATAATTTGATGTTTCCATTCTGTCACCGCTTTTATAAACAGGAGTAATAACAGTTGTTTTAAATGCATCAGGACAAATTCCAGATTGGAAACACCAATTAATGACGTAAGAAAGTGGTTCGGCTAAGTCGTAGGCTATTATTTTTAAATGGTCAGCTTTGATACCATCTACACCAGGACTTTTTTTGGCTTTAAGTGATAGGACAGCTTCTTGTACTTCAATCGGACTAACGCTTTCTAAAAAGAATGAATTGGGAAGTTGGGTTTTTGTGAACTTTTCGTTCGAAACCATTTTTTTAATACTGGATGCTAAATTTTCTCCAACATTTGTGAAAAAATTTAAGAATGCATCGGATATTTGTCGCTTATCTGTTAATATTGTTCCATCACGATTCTTAATTTCATCGATATTTGGCTTTTCTTGAACGTCTTTGTTAGTTAAGTGATCGACAACAGACCACAGTTTTCTTGGATCAGATTTGGCATCTTGTATTTTTTTTAGATATAATTGGCGTTTTGCTTCTCTAACTAGATTGATAAAAATATTTTTATATTCTTTATATTTATGGGAGGTATCTGCACATGGCGATGGTTTCATTATTTTGTATAGTTCCTCTTTTTTGTTGGCAGACTTTATCAAACCTTTAGTTATCCAGGGATTCCTGCTTTTGTCAAAATGTTTTAACTCTGTTTGTACTACATTCAATTAAATATTTTATGCATTCAATGAGTGTGTTTGCAGCATCATTAACATTCGATGCACAGTACACTGCTGTCCACGATTCTAATTTGATATTAGCAAGTAGTTTTTTATTATCGACAAAACACCTAAATTTCACTGTTTCATTATTGGAGATGGATCTACTTTTATTTTTTTCTGGTGATGATATAAGTATTACAGTGGGTAAATGATCGGTAATATGGTTTTCAACAATTAACGGTATCTACCGAAAGAAATTTGACAAATGTTTGATGAAACAATGATCACTGCAAGAACTGGAACTATTATTGACTACTCTTGTTGGTAAATTTATATTTGATATGAATCCATCCTCTGCATTACAGTGAGGTATTTGTTTACTAATTTGGTATGTTGGAGTATATTAATATTCATATCTCCTATTATGATGTGGTGTGACTGTATGGCATTTTTGTTATCTAACAAAAATTTTTCAAGATTTTCTACAAATGTATAAGGGTTTGATGATGGTGGTCGATAGACAGATGTAACTTTTACACTTTTGTTATTAATTCTCAATATCAAATCCAACACTGTGATACCGTCATCAAATTTAACAAAATCACATCTGTAGTTGATATCATTTCTTACATATACTACCACCCCATCATTCTGGTTGTAGGTACCATTATTGTAAAGCGTATCATAACCTTCCAAACAGAACAATGATACATCATTAATTTTCCAAGTTTCTGTTAATATTATTATATCAAATTTGTGTTTAATTGTAGTTAGGAAGATATTAAAACAGTCAAAATTTTGGTTTAGGCTTCGTATATTCATGTAATATAAGCTAACATTGAAATTAGAAGATTCTAACCATTTATTAAGAGCATTTGCGTCTTGAGCAATATTTGTATTGATATCATTAACCTGAAAATTATTTACGTAACTATCCATGTAAAATTTTGCAAATAATATGTAGCTTGAAAAACGTAAAAAGAACTAAACGCTCAAAACATTATTCTGGATGAATACTGTTTTTGAAAATATAAATACGACGGGCATTTTTTGTCTGCGGGCGAGTGACCCACATCATTATTCTTATTATGCTTAACGTTATAGTTCATACAGTTAGAACATTTTAAAATGTTTACAGTACAAATTTCACTTCTATGTGCTTGTCCACATTTAATGCACATTTCCGCGGCCCTACATTTTTTGTCTGTGTGACCAAACTTTTTCTACACTGCGATATCTAGTTATTGTCATAGACAATGGTCGTACACAACAGTTTTCTAAAGTCTCTTTTATATGAAAATATTTGATCAAATCACTTGCATGTGATATACAAGGCGGTCCATAATGAACGCGCCAAAAAAACGATCCTAGATAAAACTTGTGAATATACAGGAAGTTCCTTAATTATATGCGAATATTTAAGGGTGTGAATCTACATGAAAAATTAATGTTAGTTTGTTTTTATAAACTATGTTCCAAAAATGTTTCCTTACAAAAACTGGGTGTTGAAGTTTTAGGGAAAAAAATGGAAATTAATTAATATTTTCAGAACCGCTTAAGATATTTCACTGATATTTAGTACGTAGTGAAAGTTAATAAAGTTGCATATTTTTCAATGCAAAAATAATTTTTAGTTTTAACAGTGGCGTGCGTACGGGTATTGACTTCGATGTTTTTTAAGAAAAATTGGTACGTCAACGGTTTTTTGCAAAATAAAAATAATTTTTGAATTCCCCGTTCAATTTAAAACAAATGATGTTTCTTGAATTGTTTTCCTTCGATATGCCATTTTTGAGTAAAAAAATAAAAACCGTTCTATTGTCTAACTTGCAAAATTATTATTAATTTAATTGGAAAAAATAAACACATTAGGGGTAATGAACAACAACAACTGACAACATAAGCAAAACATTAAAACCAACGAAATTATTACAAAAATTGTTGAAAATGTAGTAGGCATGCTTCCGCCCTCCTTCTCATGGAATTGCGCACTCGTTGAAATATCGCTGGAGTATTTTTTATTCTCTCACAAGCTGCAACTATTCTTTCTATTAATTCCTCTACAGTGTTAATGGGACTTAGTGTCTTAAGATAGCCCCACAAAAAGAAATCTAAACTGTTGATGTTTGGAGACCTTGATGGTCATCCTTGGGGCCCACCGCGGCCAATCCAACGATTTCGATAAACAGTTTGTAAATAATTACGAACCGCTACACTGAAATGCGCTGGTGCACCATCATGCATGTACCACATATTGTTTCTTATTACTAACGGAACATCATCAAGCAGCAAAGGCCAATGTTGTTGAAGAAAATTGAGGTAATTCTGTCCGTCAAGTCGTCCCGGCAAGAAGAATGGCCCAATAAAGTGGTTGCCAATAATTAATGCTCATACGTTAACCGAAAATTGGTGTTGGAAATGGGTTTCGGTTACGGCATAAGGATTTTCTTCTGCCCACAAATGATTATTGTGGAAATTCTGAATGGCATTTCGAGAAAAATTAGCTTCGTCCGTGAACAGAATCATTAATTCAAATTGCGGATTTTGTGTAATTTTTTGAAGATACCACTGACAAAAGGTCACACGCCTTGGAAAATCAATGGGAAGTAATGCCTGTACTCTTAAACTAAGGTAAGGATATAACAAAAAATCCACTAAAATTCTCCGTCTGTGTCTAGCGATGTTCCTCGTACTCGTTTCAGGATATTCTTAGACTTCGTGCAGCACTGCTTCCTCAATTTCAGGTGTTCTCACACTTAGAGGTCTACCTTCAGATATTCCTTTTCGGACAGAATCAGGTTCAACAAGACGACGATGAATATTAGAAAAGGTTCGACTATCTGGCAAAGCTCGATCGGGATATCTCTGGTGATAAATTCGTCTGGCTTGTTCACCATTATCGTCGGCAAGGCCATATAATTCACCATTATGAACAAGATTGTAAAAACTAAATAATGAAAAAGATGCCACAGCGAACAGATTTGAATAACAGAGACTTGTCAGATATCAAAAGCCAGTAACATATTCCAGAGCAACTAGATATTTTATTCCTAAATTGCATTCTTCAAATATTACATTAATTTTCTCGGACAATAGAACGGTTTTTATTTTTTTTACTCAAGACTGGCGCATCGAAGGAAAACAATTCAAGAGAGATCATTTGTTTTAAATTGAACGAGGAATTCAAAAATAATTTTTATTTGGCAAAAAACCATTGGCGTACTATTTTTTTCTTGAAAAATATCGAAGTCAATACCCGTACGCACGCTTCTATTAAAGCTAAAAATTATTTTTGCATTGAAAAATATGCAACTTTATTAACTTTCTTTCACTACGTACTAAATATCAGTGAAATATCTGAAGCGGTTCTGAAAATATTAATTAATTCCCGAAAACTTCAACACCACGAGTTTTTGTAAGGAAACATTTTTGGACCATAGTTTATACAGCAAACTAACATTAATTTTTCATGTAGATTCACACCCTTAAATATTCGCATATCATTAAGGAACACCCTGTATAATGGAAAAGTTCAGGAACATAATATATCCTGCTTACACGATAGTGGGATCGAAATTTGAGTCAATTCGAGTACTATTAATCGTAGAATTCTTCAACCAATTAAAGTAAATCTATCATGTTTTGGTTTCAGGGGGAAGCATGGAAAATATGTGTACATGGCATATTATGCGTAACAGTGATCAGGGACTTCTAAAACGCTTGTCAACGAAGTTTTGGAGATTTTTTTGTTTCTTGCTTGTAACTCCGCCATGTTTTCCTGTGTCAGAATAAAAGGGTCAATGATTAGCGTATAGGCAGATAAGAATACCAACATTATTGTTGATGATGTACCTGTCATGTGACATCCAAAAAAATAATAGAGCTTTTCAACCATACGAACTAATTATGTTTGAGAAGGACCTCGGAATTCATAAAGGCTTAATAGATAAAAAATTAGAGCTTCAACTCACCTCATGCGTGAAAACATCACCGTCGTACGCCGAAAACCCAGCGTACCCCCTCCTGTCCTCTCTAGCACCCCTGGACCCTCTCCTCACTTCCCTGTCTTTCAAATTGCTCGCACTCGAAGACTTTGTCATATGATCGCTGTAACCGCTATCCTCACTTAAATTCTCCGCTGACACCTTCTCCCTCACGCTCTTGGTGTTGACCGGAAGACTGTCAAAACTCCTCCAGGTCTTCAGATTATCGCACGATCTCGAGTTGCCTAACGTACCGTCTGAGTCGCTGGAGTCAGATCCGGACAGCCTGGTGGCGTTGTAGAGCAAGCTGTCGTCTTTGGTCTTTTTGCGCAGTGGCACGTCGATTTTCAAGGTCTTGTAGTAGTCGACCTCATCTTCAGCTTCTGGACTGTTGAGGCTATCCGGACTGACAGTCTTGGTGCGATTAGTGGCCTCCAAGGAGTCAAAACTGAACTGGGAATAGACGCTTGGGGAGCTAGAGCAGATCTCCTGGCACTGCTTCTCCAAGGTTTCGAATTGCACTAGGCTGCTAGACCTACTGAGCGAGCTGAGGTCTTCTTCTGTGCTTGGAATGGAGAGGAAGTAGTCTTGTTTGCGCCGTTTGGCCGGGCAGGCTAGTTCGCGGTCTGATTCGCAACCCAGATCTTCTGTAACAAAGAGAACATATTTTAGTCAAGCTAGGTATCCAAATATTTTATAATGGGTGATTCATAGAGGTACTTCATCAAAAGTATAAAAAAAATAAACACAATTAACTGTGATTGGTAATCTTTATCATCAAACAAAATAACGTTCTATGACATTCGTTTATAGAAAATTATTTTTTCAAATACTGGCCGACACTGCTGTTAACATGGTCATTTTGAGTTTTCTAATTTTTTTTATAAGCGTCCGTGCATTAGAGTGACATTTAGTGAATATAACGCGTTTTGCTGATTTCTAGTTCCTCATGTAGACGTAGCCACAAAGGAAAAAGTCCAGAGGTGTGAGATCACATGATCTAGGTAGACAATTTATCAGTCCGTAAAGAGAAAAGCTGCCGCGACGACTTAACGAATGTGTCGCGAACAGAGGACAACACATTATTAACATTAATGTGGGATATCTCAGCAATTTTGCGAAATTTCGAGTTAAAATTTTAATAACTTTCTATTTATCAGTGGACCTGAAATTTGTAAGAGTATGCTCAGAATTACAGCACTGTCATCGAAACTTGGAGTTCCAGATTAGACCATATTGACCACAGTAATAGCAGACACTGTATATATATATATATATATACCACGTCTCAAATGTATATATATATATATATATATATATATTGAGACGTGGTCATTGTCGTTAAGACCAGTTAGGTGAAAAAATAAAGCTTCCGCCTTTTGTTGGGTACTTCGACAAAATTCAAGCAAAGAGGACTCTTTATACTTTATTAATCTCTAGCTTTCAATGGACTTTGCCATCTTCATCGGGAGCTGCAGTAACATTGAGAAGAAACAGCAACTATTGTGCAAAATAATTTTAAATTAACTTACAGGAGTATGTGAGGTTGTTGCTAAATATTATTAAGGTTTTGGTTGAGGGATACACCCAGTAACCTGGTGAATGGTGGATACATGGTACATTTGTCAAAATTAATATAAACTACATACAGCTGTATGTCAGAAACAAATTAAAACGGATTAAAAATATTTAAAAACGAAAGTTAAAATTACATCATATATAACAGTGATAATCATTTTCATATTTTCTTCTTTTGAAAAAGGTACCTTTAAATTAATCACCCGTTGCGAAGACCCCAAGACAAAGATGTCCAGTAACAATGAAACGCTCTGTTTGATTAGAAAATGACGCGTTGATGAGATGATTAGCATCGGATAGAAAATAACGAAGATATGATAAAGTTAACTTGAAATTAATTTTGACACACTTTCTGACTGACATACCTTGGTAGTATACTAAGTGACATATAAATCCGAACACCCATTTTAAATGGTTTTATTTTAATAAAATTTTGTATAAGTACTTAATGAAGCATAATAAGTAAATGATAAAAATTTCAAAATGATTGCACTTCTTTAAAGCCCTTTGACCTTTAATAATATGTGGATGCACCCTGATGTGCTACGCATTCTCCAACGCGCCTAGGCATGCTTCTGATCAGGTGGTCAATGTCCTCCTGTGGTATCTCATTCCAGGCAACCACCAACTCCTCTCGAAGTGCTTCTACAGTCTGAGGAGGACGTTGCAAATTGGGCAATCTCCTACCCATCATATCCTACACGTGCTCAATTGGGGATAAGTCGGGAGATCTTGGTGGCCATGGTAACAATGTGACATCATTATGTTGAAAGAAGTCTATTGTGACTCTTGCAACATGTGGTCGGGCATTATCTTGTTGGAAAGTTGGATCTGCCAGGGTGTCAAGATAGGGTAAAAGATGGGGTTCTAGAACTTCGTGGATATAACGCTGCGCGTTCATGTTACCTCTGATGAAGATTAAAGTTGACCTGGAACCATAAGCTATAGCACCCCAAACCATAACTCCAACAGTGTGATGAACATGTCTTTCAACAAAAAACTGTGGATTCCTCCTTTCACCACGTCGCCTTCTAACCCTGGCACGACCATCGTGCATGCCTAAACAAAATCGAGATTCGTCACTAAAGACAATACTGTTCCAGTCCTGATCCCAGAGTGGCCGTTGTCTGCACCACTCAAGGCGATTACGTCGGTGTTCTCGAGTTAAAGCGAGGACCCAGTGTGGCCGGTATGAAAACAAGCCAAAACTTCTCATTCATCGGTAAACACTTCGCATGCCAATAGGTCTTCCGTGTTCTGCAAACCATTCATTTGCAATGGACCTGGTAGTGGAGAAACGGTCCCTTAAGGCCAATAATCTTAGGCGGCGATCTTCACGGTCTGTTATTCTATGGCGGCGTCCAGTGCCCCTTGCTCTTTGCGTACGGCCTTCTCGAAGCCATGACTGACAACGCCTAACCACAGATAAATACATTCACCAACTTTTATTAAAATAAAACCATTTAAACTGGGTGTTCGGATTTATATGTCACTTAGTATATTACCAATTATGATGAGGTATATTTTACCTAGACATTCGGTCGACTAAATCACAGTTCATTTCCCCTTTGCCAGGCATCTTTATCTGGTGTACAGAATGTCAAAGCAAGAAAAAAACTTCCAGGGTTGTATCAATATTCAATTGTGAAAGCGAAAGCGAAAAAATGTGCAGTATTTTGCAAAAGGATACAGCCTCATTTCGTTTACTGACTTTTTGCGCGTAATGATGTTTATGATTAATATTTCATGCATGAAAGTACCGAAATCCGCAAATTATTTTTCCTACAAGCGACTGAAACGTGCGCAGATTTGCATGCAAAGTTAACGTTTTCCAATGACCTATCCCAAATATTGCGCTCTAGATAGACAAAGTAGCAAAAACGCTCGCTAATAATTGCTACCATGTCGCCAGAATGCCGTAATATAATGATGTGCATACATTGATTCTCGTCAATTTTACAAATATAATACAGGAAGAAATGTAGAAAAAACTGCAAACCGCTTTGCGTCGCGCAGATCAAACGTATTTTCAAACTTTATTCAGCTTGACCTGTTAGTGTGGGACCGATCATGAAACTAAGTTTTAAACCAGTAAACCTTAACCAACTGAGCGAAAAAATTTTATATACGTTTGGTTGCCAAGACAAATATGGAATAAATAGATTACGGTAATAATAATTTATAAGTACGATTTGATAGTACCAAATAATAATAACAATGCTTTATTGCTCAACAGAAATTCAATCCAGTTACTGAGCAATCTATGAACCCCCAAAAAATAATAAATAAAATAGAAAAGAATCAAATTACGCAAATTAGCATATCGCTCAGCTGATTATGCAACAAAAAACCAAACAATCAGCATTGATATCATGCACGTCACTAAAGGGGAGTTTACACTACCATGTAGCGCTTGCGTAAGTTTTACTTGCATCCAACTTGCAGAAAAACTTGCAAATGTAAACATTAAGATGCACGAAAGTTTAACTTGCAACGAGGACTTGCATGCATTTGTTGCTTTCGCAAATAAATTCTGTTTTGATAGAAATTACTTGTCCTTTCCTGTCTAAACCTGCTGCTTGCAGACAACTACTACTTGTAAACAAGTGACGAGAGTGTTCTAGGTTAAATTTTGTATTATCAGGTAACCAAATAACTTCGTGCGATTGTTGTATATCACACATTGCCATGGATGTTGTTGATCGATAGCGATTGTGTGTTACCTGTTGTCTCTTCAGTATGAATCTTTCTTTTCTCAGACACATAAAAAGTTGCTGAAAATTGTTACATAGTTTTAATAATTGAAAATGGCGACGAATAAAACAGTAATTTGAAGTTGTTTACTGTATGAGTACAAACTTGGTAGAAAAGCGGCAGCGGCGGCGCGAAAAATATGTACCGCATTCGGAGATGATGCCGTTAGTGATCGAACAGCACAGAAGTGGTTCAAACAATGTTCTTCGGGAGATCTCAGTTTAGGCGATGAACCGCGCTCAGGGAGACCAAAAATCATGAACAACGATGATCTTCGACAGGTTGTGGACGCAAATTCCAGGACAACGTGCCAAAAACTTGCAGAAATGTTCAGAGTGAGTCCTGAAACTATTCGTTTGCATCTTCACCAGCTAGGAAAGACGTAGAAGTTAAACAAATGGGTACCACACGAACTGACAAATGATGACAAATTAAGTCGTATTTCCATTTGTTCAGCAAACATTTCACGCAACGCTATCGTATCATTGGTTGATTCGGTACCACACGCCCAAGGCTTCCTTGCACCCAAACAAGGTTTTGTTGTGTGTTTGGTGGACAGCAACATTATGAGTTTTTGGAAAGGGGTCAAACCATGACTGCTAACTTGTATTGTGAGCAGCTTCAACGAGTACAAGCAGCACTCATCCAGAAACAGCCTTCTTTGATCATTCGGAAGAAAGTGATATTCTTGCAGGATAACACCAAGCCTCATACCGCAAAAGTGACCCGGGGAAAAAGTTCTGAACTCGGCTAGGAAACGTTACCATATCCGCCATATTCTCCCGACATTCCGCCCAGTGATTATCACCATTTTTGTCTCTTGACAAATGTATGAGGCACCGACAGTTCACAACTAGAGATGGTGAAATAAATGCAGTCCGCCAATTTTTTTACTCCAAATCCAGGGAGTTTTACAATACTGGCATACAAAAATTGGTTCCACGCTGGCAAAAGATCATTGAATGTAATGGTAATTACTTCGACGAATAAATAGTGTCTTATTGTTTCTCAATAAAAATTTATATTTTTCTACGAACTTATTTGGTTACCTGATATAATTGTTTAGTGAGTTGTCATGGCCGATCCAGACTTCGGCAATGAAAATGAAGGTGATGAACCAGTGAAAGGAAGGGATACAGTAAAGAAGGAAGGCAAAACAGTCAAAAAGGAATTTAACTACTATTGAAACTTTATCGGAACTTTATGAGGGACACCCTTGTTTGTGGAACTATAAATTGCCTGAATACAAAGACAGAAATGTTAAAGACTAAGCCTGGTTACAGATGGTGGAAGCAATGAATTTGAAAAAATTTAACGTAAAAGAAGCCAAAGAGAAGATTCGCAGCCTGAGAAATACGTATTTAAGGGAGATAGTTGAAATATCAAAAAGCAAGTCTTCAAGATCTGGTCTGGAAGACGTGTATATTCCGACACTTAGGCGATTTTCAACAATGGACCGGATTTTAGGAACAGTCTTGAAGTCAAGGGAGAACCAAGCAATTGGTATTCCAGAAGATGTTAACAAGGTAGGCCTTAAGTTCTGTCAATATCGGTACCAAATAAATTTTCACGATACGACTTTAAGCAAGTTTCCTTGCAAGGGTAGGTGTATAGTGTAAACCTTAACTTGAATGCAAGTACAGTTTGCATCAACTTGCATGTCCTACTTACGCAAGCGCTACATGCTAGTGTAAGCACCCCTTAATAATATTAAAACTAGATGTAGCGTATAAGACAATCGAGAATTTAATCCTAAATTTGAATTGCTTGAATACTTAAAATACGGGTGCGACATAAGCCCGAATGGCAGTGCATTGAAATTCAACTGTGATGATAGGTGAATAATATCTATCTTATTATGCAACAGTTTTTATACAGATATTATGGAAGAGTGCACACGCCTCAAATGGAGGAGTGACAAGTCAAACCTAACATAGATGAACCTTAGAAATGTCGCATTTTAAACAGATATTTGAAGCGTTTGTACCTGTTCTAATGGCTTCCAAACTAAAGAAATATTTAGTAATTCTCGCGTATCAGATGCAAAACAATGCAGTGGCGACATTTTAGTCGAAGATTGCAAAGCAATTAGCAGGTGTGTAGCGACAACAGTTCTGGATGGGATTTTCGCGTTTTTTGGAGGGCATATATATATATCAAAAATGTCATTGTACTGAATACTGAAGAAGATCACCTTTGTGATTGAAACGTTGACATTAAAGAAGAATTTCTTATATACATATGTGGTTTTTACTGGCCAGACAAGCCTGGGGGATTATCTGATAATAACTCAAAAACATTTTTTGACAATGCTATGGATACATGTAGCACATTACAGTCTTTAACCTGTACTGTTTAACAGTAAGCTTTTCACAACTATCGACTTTCGTCGGTGCTCATCAAAAAACAATAGAAGGTGGCAGGTTCAGAATCGACCTTTCATAAACAGTTAGGATGTCTACTCAATAATTTGTCCCCAGTAAAAAGTAGTGTAAATACAAACACAACCGAACACAAAAATAACTCTAACCATTAATCTACGACACTTCTCCCAAAATTACACGTCTGGTCCCAACATTTCAAACAAGTTCAACGTGAGCCGTAGATACTTACATAAACGGACGGTTGGCGGCTAAAAAAAGACACTCGCAGCACAGCCTTTGCAAGGTTATTAACGGACGTTTTCTTCCTTTTTGACAGTCCAGAAATACTTGAACCCGACAAGCGGTGGACGTGCCCCGTGAAAATAATACAGCGCGACCACTACAACTGTTACCGTTAAAAAACGTCGAGTTGGACATTCGCAGAGAGGTAGATGCCAGCCTAATTAAATGTGTATACAGTAGGATTTAATTTTAGAAAAAGCTATTATTAAGTGCTAGAGACGATAGCTGATGAATCTAGTGCACTGGAATGTCGAATCAATTTTTTCGGCTGCAGAATCTATGGACAATAACGTACCCTCTATCTAGGAAATATATCATTCTTTATAACTCAAAATAAACCTCTTAAATTCAATTTTCAAGTATTGTGAGCTTTATCCTCAAATTTTTTGCTCGTTAAAAAACATATATAAGTTAATTTTTTATAGTTCATCATTAAATTCATATTTTTAGTGTTATTTCTTAAAAATGCAAGAGTTTGCAGATAATTGTCGTTAGACGATTTGAAGACATGGTAAGTATTATTATTCTATTGATACAAAGGCTGTCACTTTGGCAGGCATTGGTGGTCAAAAGTGTGTACTGGAACTAAGCGAATTCCGAGACAAACAATACAATCTAAACATATTGACTGCTTCTAACCTAATCTAATTTAGTTTTTCGCACCCAAGAAATCATGCAACAGGATCGGAAGGGTTATTACTTAGAAAACGTAATGTCAAAAATTCGATAAAATGCAACGAATTCAGACTAGGTAGGAGGAGTCAGTCAAGTATTTATTTGCCTCTTAATTCTCAGGGTTTGTAGTGAGGATCAAAGTGCACTTGACATAAGTTAATTTCTTGACAGTTCTGACATTAAATCCGTATTTTTAGTGTTACTTTTTAAAAATGCGAGTGTTTGCAGATAATAGTGGTAACAGATGATTCCAAGACATTGTCCTTCTTACATAATTAGGCTAGAGAGTGACATATGTTTCCATTGGTAAGCATTATGATTATGTTGACCCAACGCTGTCACTTTGGGAGGAAAATGAGTCAAAAGTGCGACACAGTTCTGGCGACAAACAATGCAATGTAACTATATAGGCTTAACTCCATCTAATCTATTTGAATTCGTTGTTCAGAGTATGAAGTGAATGTCAGCTGGTTCAAAGGTGACACTTTATAGGAAAACCTACATTTTCTCAAAAAAAACTACTTATGTCATAAAAAATCGGTTTAACGTCATAATGTACATACATATAGAAATAAAGGCTACTTTTCATTTAAGATAGAAGCTTAACTTCCGTGCCAGGAGTAGGTGCGTTTGAAGTTTGAACTTTGGACGGCAAGATTTTCCGCTTCTGAACTCCTGAAATATACTTTTTGCAAAATAACCGATTTGAATGTTTTATATCTGAATTGGAGTACTTCAGACCTTGGTAGAGGGTAGGATGTACACTACAATATTCAGCAATCAATGCAAATTTAAAAAAAAAATCGATTAAACTCGTTATTGTTGATCCACTGTATATCCAGCTATCGTCAAATTAAGATAGTATTGTTAAAATGTCATCGAGGCATTTGAAACTGGCAAAAAAAACATATATTTTTAACCTCTTAAGAAACAAATTCGTCATAGATTCTGCATAAAAAATTGATTCGATGATGCGTGAAATGTAAAATGCATCGTCTGATCGTAAAACTTACACATGTAGGACCAATTCCACGTCTAGTATGCCAAATTAAACAAAGCTTCTATCAAAATAGCATAAAAACAATGTATGGGGATTATTACTCAATCAACGTACACCCTTAGCTTCAACATTGACCATGTTTACATTGTGGCCGTAGTGCACACGATTTAAGCACACTTTATTGGTGTTCTGTGGCTTAGTTCGCCACTGTGGCACATACATACTTTAAAGACACAGTCACTATTTACAATATATACTAAGTGACATATAAATCCGAACACCCAGTTTAAATGGTTTTATTTTAATAAAAGTTGGCGAATGTATTTATCTTACTGTAAATAACAAGTGAAAAAATTTTCAGCCTTATCAGTTGGACATTCCGGTTTTTATACTGCTTTTTTTTAATTCACTAACGCTCTAAAAATGAATATTTCAGCCGCAGTAAAGAATCAACGTTGGCGGATTTTGGTTCTTGACATCCTTTACGATCGGTTACGATGCCTAGAGTACGGAGACCTGTACGATTTCGTCAACTTAGTGAGTTTGATAGGGGCTGTATAGTGGGACTTCGGGAAGGTGGACTTTCTTTTCGGGCAATTGCAGTTAGAGTGCAAAGAAGTGTAGACACTGTGGTTAGGTGTTGTCAGGCATGGCTTCGAGAAGGCCGTACGCAAAGAGCAAGGGGCACTGGACGCCGCCGTAGAACAACAGACCGTGAAGATCGCCGCCTAAGATTATTGGCCTTAAGGGACCGTTTCTCCACTACCAGGTCCATTGCAAATGAATGGTTTGCAGAACACGGAAGACCTATTGGCATGCGAAGTGTTTACCGACGAATGAGAAGTTTTGGCTTGTTTTCATACCGGCCACACTGGGTCCTCCCTTTAACTCGAGAACACCGACGTAATCCCCTTGAGTGGTGCAGACAACGGTCACTCTGGGATCAGTATGGAACAGTATTGTCTTTAGTGACGAGTCTCGATTTTGTTTAGGCATGCACGATGGTCGTGCCAGGGTTAGAAGGCGACGTGGTGAAAGGAGGAATCCACGGTTTTTTGTTAAAAGACATGTTCATCACACTGTTAGAGTTATGGTTTGGGGTGCTATAGCTTATGGTTCCAGGTCACCTTTAATCTTCATCAGAGGTAACATGAACGCGCAGCGTTATATCCACGAAGTTCTAGAACCCCATATTTTACCCTATCTTGACACCCTGGCAGATCCAACTTTCCAACAAGATAATGCCCGACCACATGTTTCAAGAGTCACAATAGACTTCTTTCAACATAATGATGACACATTGTTACCATGGCCACCAAGATCTCCCGACTTATCCCCAATTGAGCACGTGTGGGATATGATGGGCAGGAGATTGTTCAATTTGCAACGTCCTCCTCAGACTCTAGAAGCACTTTGAGAGGAGTTGGTGGTTGCCTGGAATGAGATACCACAGGAGGACATTGACCACCTGATCAGAAGCATGCCTAGGCGCGTTAGAGAATGCGTAGCACATCAGGGTGCATCCACACATTATTAAAGGGCAAAGGGCTTTAAAGCAGTGCAATCATTTTGAAATTTTTATCATTTATTTATTATGCTTCATTAAGTACTTATACAAAATTTTATTAAAATAAAACCATTTAAACTGGGTGTTCGGATTTATATGTCACTTAGTATATATAGTAGTTTGTATTAATGCCAAATGTGGTGAATGTGCACATATCAAATATTAGCGCATTCACCATATTTGAAACAAGTAATTTCATGTGCGAAGTTCAGGCAACTCGAGATACAATCGACTAACGGATAGCCGTATCTCTGGTTGCCTGTACGTACAGATAACTAGCTAGATTCTAAAATGTGCATTCATAGAATTTTGTAAGTTTTAACCAGAGTATATCTAAGTTCAAACACCGTGTGTGTCGTGCACCTGTATGCAAGATGTTACTCATTTTTCAGCATCGTAGCCAACTGCGATTGAATATTTTTATCATTAAATATGTATCTATTTTAAAATTGGTATATTTCCCTTATCAGCATAATGTGATTGATTATGAGCAACCATATTATGTATATAGACTTTTGTTAGACTGTCATAGCAACATGAAATATGTGTGAAAGTCTACAGGATAGAATTTCTAATTTATTTCATAGAAGAATGTATGGCTTTAATGTAAATGTTGTTCGCACACGTTAACTGTTTTAGGTATATCTAGTTCAACATTTAAGTGTATATTTTTCAAAGAAGTTATAAGTATTTTTTATTGATTTTTAGGGGCCGGATTTCAAAAATCAGTTGTTTGCAAGTGATTCCGCTAGGTGAAGGGTATAAAGATCAAGTTCGTATCGCTTATAATGGGTGCAAGACGCTGATGAAAAATACAATTAAGTAATATGGATCACCTGCAAAGTAATAATAAGTGATTTATGACACTACACTCTATAACCTTGTTAGATTGATGTTTATTGAAGCAAAATCAGTTATGTAAAAAAACCTGCACTAATCATCAATCTCTTCCTTAATTTGTAAATTGGTTTTCGATGAATCACAGTTAGATCTCCGGTACTGGTTCATTAGAATGATTGACAGAAAAAAATATGAGCATATTAGGTATAAACATCAAAAAATGAGTACCCAAAAACTGGAAAGAATGTTATATCTCTATACAGGAAGCCTCTGACATGTCAATTTTTTTATGAGCATACAGATGTAACCTAAATTATTTCGAATATGTCTAGTTCAAGTATAAAAAACTTATTCTAGTATGTCTTGATGCTAATGTTAACAAACATACCATATAGATTAACACTACTACACTGCTACAAAAATTTGTACACGTCAAAAATACCATTCCAATTCTTATCTAGCATTAGTCCAGGATCTCACGTACTCCGAAATGCCAATCACATGCTGACGCAGAAGCGGTCAACTTTTTTAGAAAGAGTGTCATAATTCTTCAGCAGGGGAAGTTTGTCCTGCCATAGGTTCTGACTTTCTCAGTCTGAAATTTCCATTTTAGTCATCCGTTGTTACAAAAAGATTGCTAGAACGAAGTATCTAAGAAGGATCTAAGACCGACCTGCAACTAGGAGTTCAAAATGAAATAGCGTTTGTCACAATTAAGCGTGAAAAATCACATGTGGTGACCGTTTTTGACTATGCATTGCTGGAGGCATCCTTGAAAGTTCGCGTAGACTCTTTCCAACATCGTTTTCTCAACTTGGGCGAGTTCCACGCGTTCAACACAGACAACGTAACTGACTCGGCTGCTATTAGTCTACTAATAAACTCAATATGCTCTCTAAACATAGAGCTCGCATATAATAAACAGGAATAAACATGTCTTAACTTTATATATGTGCGTCATCGCATAAACGCCGAGAAATGCAGCAATATGAAATATTACGTATTGTAATTCATAAAAGTAGATGTTAGAGAATATCTGAGGGTGATAGAAAAATTGTGTTTTTAGATTTGATTTAAGGGTCTCAAAATATACTAAGTGACATATAAATCCGAACACCCAGTTTAAATGGTTTTATTTTAATAAAATTTTGTATAAGTACTTAATGAAGCATAATAAGTAAATGATAAAAATTTCAAAATGATTGCACTGCTTTAAAGCCCTTTGACCTTTAATAATGTGTGGATGCACCCTGATGTGCTACGCATTCTCCAACGCGCCTAGGCAAGCTTCTGATCAGGTGGTCAATGTCCTCCTGTGGTATCTCATTCCAGGCAACCACCAACTCCTCTCGAAGTGCTTCTAGAGTCTGAGGAGGACGTTGCAAATTGAGCAATCTCCTACCCATCATATCCCACACGTGCTCAATTGGGGACAAGTCGGGAGATCTTGGTGGCCATGGTAACAATGTGACATCATTATGTTGAAAGAAGTCTATTGTGACTCTTGCAACATGTGGTCGGGCATTATCTTGTTGGAAAGTTGGATCTGCCAGGGTGTCAAGATAGGGTAAAAGATGGGGTTCTAGAACTTCGTGGATATAACGCTGCGCGTTCATGTTACCTCTGATGAAGATTAAAGGTGACCTGGAACCATAAGCTATAGCACCCCAAACCATAATTCCAACAGTGTGATGAACATGTCTTTAACAAAAAACTGTGGATTCCTCCTTTCACCACGTCGCCTTCTAACCCCGGCACGACCATCGTGCATGCCTAAACAAAATCTAGACTCGTCACTAAAGACAATACTGTTCCATTCCTGATCCCAGAGTGACCGTTGTCTGCACCACTCAAGGCGATTACGTCGGTGTTCTCGAGTTAAAGGGAGGACCCAGTGTGGCCGGTATGAAAACAAGCCAAAACTTCTCATTCGTCGGTAAACACTTCGCATGCCAATAGGTCTTCCGTGTTCTGCAAACCATTCATTTGCAGTGGACCTGGTAGTGGAGAACCGGTCCCTTAAGGCCAATAATCTTAGGCGGCGATCTTTACAGTCTGTTGTTCTACGGCGGCGTCCAGTGCCCCTTGCTCTTTGCGTACGGCCTTCTCGAAGCCATGCCTGACAACACCTAACCACAGTGTCTACACTTCTTTGCACTCTAACTGCAATTGCCCGAAAAGAAAGTCCAGCTTCTCGAAGTCCCACTATACGGCCCCTATCAAACTCACTAAGTTGACGAAATCGTACAGGTCTCCGTACTCTAGGCATCGTAACAGATCGCAAAGGATGTCAAGAACCAAAATCCGCCAACGTTGATTCTTTACTGCGGCTGAAATATTCATTTTTAGAGCGTTAGTGAATTAAAAAAAAGCAGTATAAAAACCGGAATGTCCAACTGATAAGGCTGAAAATTTTTTCACTTGTTATTTACAGTAAGATAAATACATTCACCAACTTTTATGAAAATAAAACCATTTAAACTGGGTGTTCGGATTTATATATCACTTAGTATACAAAAGATATACCCAAAAATTGTCATGTCACAAATCCTGTGTTTATCAGTGTAATCTACACACCCGATTTACATACATCCTGAACGTGACACATTCATTTCAATAAGTACTACGCCACTTCTGATTATGATGGTCATTTTCTGGTATATGGGATCCAGGACTATTATCTACTTGAATATCTCAGAAACATTGAGGTCAGATCAATGAATTCGGAATTTAGATTTAGACCAGACAGCTAGCAACTTTCCAACAGAAAAGGTCTAATATTCCTGGCCTATTCCAGAAATCCGAATGGTATTCGGCCCGCCTGAAGATGACTACAACTTACAAATAACGGAAAACATGAGAATTGATACCACTCATACGTTAAATATAACAGGTTTTTTATTTCTTCCGTATTACCTGGTGGGTCGATGCAGATAACCGATCCCGCTTCTGAATCGGTTGCGAACCAACCAGCAGGTGAGCACCTCGAGTCGATGTCACTATCTTCCGATCGCAGGTCATCTGACGTCTCCTCCAAAATGGTTTCCAGGTACATGTAGTGACCTCCCGTGAGGCCGGCACCACCGTTGGCTGACAAGAAGTAGTCGGCATCTGCAAACAAGAAAAAATATACAATATTTCCTTCGGTTATTCAGGTCAAGAGCAAGTTTTTGTATTGCTACGGAAACTTCCTCCAAGTACGATTTAATATATAAATCAGCTTTTTTCAAACGTATGGGCTCAAAAATCGCTACAAATTGCCGATACAAGATACGGAGTCCAACACTCTACGAAGATGGATTCCCGCAGAAATGGGCATCTGAACTGTCTCAAATTCATCTTCACATCTTCTACACAAGGATGTATCGTTTAACATGAAACGCAGCATAGTTACGTCTCATCCACCAATGAGTAATCATGTAAGCTTATGAGATAAACTGTAACGTAAACTTACGTTACGTGGTACCTTGATTAAGCAAAGAATGGTCATACCATGGAATGGCCAACTTCTTTACCACCGATAGCTAAAATTTATATAGATATCTTCAAAAATGGCGAACTGCGAGCCGTCAAAGATGGACATTTTTTCAGACATTTCACTAAATATCTAAACAGTTAACAATCGAAACCAAAGTTATAAGAGTATGATATCAAACTTCTTAATTTTAGAAGTTATATCCAAATCTATATATACTAAGTGACATATAAATCCGAACACCCAGTTTAAATGGTTTTATTTTAATAAAAGTTGGTGAATGTATTTATCTTACTCTAAAAATGAATATTTCAGCCGCAGTAAAGAATCAACGTTGGCGGACGTTGGTTCTTGACATCCTTTACGATCGGTTACGATGCCTAGAGTACGGAGACCTGTTCAATTTCGTCAACTTAGTGAGTTTGATAGGGGCCGTATAGTGGGACTTCGGGAAGCTGGACTTTCTTTTCGGGCAATTGTGGTTAAGTGTTGTCAGGCATGGCTTCGAGAAGGCCGTACGCAAAGAGCAAGGGGCACTGGACGCCGCCGTAGAACAACAGACCGTGAAGATCGCCGCCTAACATTATTGGCCTTAAGGGACCGTTTCTCCACTACCAGGTCCATTGCAAATGAATGGTTTGCAGAACACGGAAGACCTATTGGCATGCGAAGTGTTTACCGACGAATGAGAAGTTTTGGCTTGTTTTCATACCGGCCACAGTGGGTCCTCCCTTTAACTCGAGAACACCGACGTAATGGCCTTGAGTGGTGCAGACAACGATCACTCTGGGATCAGGAATGGAACAGTATTGTCTTTAGTGACAAGTCTCTATTTTATTTAGGCATGCACGATGGTCGTGCCAGGGTTAGAAGGCGACGTGGTGAAATGAGGAATCCACAGTTTCTTGTTGAAAGACATGTTCATCACACTGTTTGGAGTTATGGTTTGGAGTGCTATAGCTTATGGTTCCAGGTCACCTTTAATCTTCATCAGAGGTAACACGAACGCGCAGCGTTATATCCACGAAGTTGTAGAACCCCATCTTTTACCCTATCTTGACACCCTGGCAGATCCAACTTTCCAACAAGATAATGCCCGACCACATGTTGCAAGAGTCACAATAGACTTCTTTCAGCATAATGATGTCACATTGTTACCATGGCCACCAAGATCTCCCGACTTATCCCCAATTGAGCACGTGTGGGATACGATGGGTAGGAGATTGCTCAATTTGCAACGTCCTCCTCAGACTCTAGAAGCACTTCGAGAGGAGTTGGTGGTTGCCTGGAATGAGATACCACAGAAGGAGATTGACCACCTGATCAGAAGCATGCCTAGGCGCGTTGGAGAATGCGTAGCACATCAGGGTGCATCCACACATTATTAAAGGTCAAAGGGCTTTAAAGCAGTGCAATCATTTTGAAATTTTTATTATTTACTTATTATGCTTCATTAAGTACTTATACAAAATTTTATTAAAATAAAACCATTTAAACTGGGTGTTCGGATTTATATGTGACTTAGTATATACGTATATAGAAGATATCCTTTAATTTCTTTGGGTACAAGGCAAAGTATTGCAAAACACATAGTCGACGAATTCCCTTCACTGTTGTTGAAAAAACAATTTCAGCAACAATCTCGCCGACTTAGTAAGTAAATAATTTTCTCCTAATTACTATTAGTTGCTATTATAATTGTTTCCAGCTCCAGTCGATGAAGAAAAAAATTCTTCGAAAGCTTGAGATTTTAAGTTATAAGAGTGTACTTTTGCAATACTTTGCTTTCTACCCAAAGAAATTAAAGAATATCTTCTCCTAACAGATAAGGCAATTATATGCAGGGTGACTTCGAAGTTGAGTCATTTATTTTAACAGTGAGTAGATCTGATCAAAAGAAATGTTTTTTCCTTTACCATTTTTCTGGTAAAATTAAAGTAACAAAGTTATAGCCCTTTGGAAGTTTGAGTACCGCCCTGTTCAATAATACTCGTAATATCATGTGCTCGTGTTTGGCAACAACGGATATAATCCGCCTCGGTTCATCGCATCGGAAACAAAAAAGCGAAAGAATTTGGAACGATGTTTTACAATTATTTTCTTCAGTTCAGTTATACATACAGTCAATGTCAGTCGGTAAGGCGTGTGAATAGTGTCTGTTGCGTGACTCAAACGAAATAAAAAATGGCACATGTTTATGCGGATCGGTTTCCCAATCGAGTGCAACCAACCCCTCGTGCCTTTGTTAATGTAGTACAACGGGCTCGTGAATCAAGTGACTTAAGACCTCACAGGAGACCTCACGATCAAATACAGGTCCGCACTGAAATACTTGTCGGGAGGATACTTTATAAAACAAGGTAAAAAATTTTTTTTATTTTTTTTTTTATTTTTACACACATATTTTGGTTTATCTTCCTTCTACAATCATTATCTGAAAATTAATGACTCAACTTCAAAGTCACCCTGTATATATATAATGATATATTATTATTTTTTAGCGTGGTCACGACTTTACCGATTACATTCATATTTGTTTTAATACCTTGCTACTGCTGTATAGAAAGTTCTTATGGAAAAAAAAGTCAAGAAAATTGCGCAGAAAATTTGGAACTCATTGAAACCTAATGATTATTTGAGCTACGCGCGTTTGACAGTCTGCTTGAGCACGCACATCAGAAGAAATATCTCAAGTACCAAAAGAGACAGACACTCCTCTCCGCCATCTTTATTCCAACAGCTATTGACAGTTAGGTATGTGAGAAAAAATTGCTCGATTGCTTTCGTTTTTGGACTTGCATTTATTTACCTTCCGTACTTTGTGATGGCGCCTTCAAAAGAAACTGCAGAAATACGTTTTTTTACTTAATTGACTTTCACTACTCTATCATTTTGAACTGGACAAGCCGCACGCCGCAAATTTATATTATCGTTTAATAATGTTTACCCATGAGAAATATTGTTTTATTTAATTAGTAGTACCCAGTACATTCGATTAGAGCTTTTATCCAGTTTTCAGTATGTTCAGTGAGTTTTTTGAGAAGTATTTGTTCAAAAATAAACAACAAGGGTGGAAGTTAGTTCACCGCAATCACGTCATACATTAAAATTGTGATTCTTCAAAATGCCACCAATTAGACGAACCACCCTAGGTCGTAGAACTCGCAATGCTGCAATTCAACGACATATACGAAGAAGTCAAACTGTCGAGCAACGAGAAGCGAGAAATGAAGTTGAACGGATCAAAGGACTGAAATTCAATAACGTAGAAGTTTTGCATTTAATCCCAATGCATTCTATTATGACGTGGAAATCGATTACAGTTCACAACAAATCGTTGCTATTGGACCAATGAACGTTGTGAGTCCACATTGAAAGGCTTTCAAGTTTAAAAATGAAGCCCCTGGATCAAATTGACTCCATTGGTACCACCACCAGAGCCACTATTTTCTTTGGTGTCCAGAAAGGGCCACATTCTATACAGTTTTTGAGTCATATCCAGTAATACAACAACTGCTTTCAAATGACGTCATTTGGCCCAACAAAATTCACATAATTTTATGCATACCTTCAAAGTAATTTGATGTGGTAATGAGCGTATTTTGCTAGCCACATGGTGGTACAAACACTTCGCTATACAATTACCTATATATTTACCCTTTTATAATCATTATTCATCCCAGTTCATAGCTAAGACTCAGGACAACGTGTGTCGGGTCAGCTAGTATGTAACAAAAAATAGGATATTCTATTTAAAAAATACATGTTTGCTATTTTAAGTTATGGAACAATTTATTAAACAAAGTACTTTCCATTTTCATTGGGACACCCTGTACATAGGTAGATACTCAAGCATAATTTTCTTGGACTGAAAATTGCGCTACCTTCAGAATATTAGTAATATAGACCATAATTAGCTTCTTCTCGCAATAAAAAATACGTAGATGACAGTATAAGTGAAGAGTTGCATGTGCGTGTATATCCTGAATGACAAAACTAGCTGTTTTTGTTTCACAATAAGACCGTTACCATCCACGATCTATTGTCCCTGCATTTAGGTCACATGCGCTTCCTCGTTGCCTTTCAGCATTCTGAATATTCTAATTTTGAGGATTACTGAGAATTTTAGCGCGGCCAATCAACCGCGTTATTTGTTAGTATGGTAGACTGCAGTACAAGGTGCATTACCGAAAATATATTTCAGAATTTGCATACGTGTTCCACTTGAATGTCAATATTTAAGTTGGCAATGTTTGGACCCATTTTAAGAACAAAGCTTCATATGAACGTCATAAACGTCTATTTTTTTATATAAAAATACAAGATCATCATACCAAATTAATCATCTATTATATTAATATTATCTGCAAATACTACTTTAGATATTTTAATGAGAGTTGGAGTAAATGTATCAAGAGCAACGCCATCATGAGTTCATAAAGGATTAATTTCTCAACTTTAATCCTCCAAGAAAAAGTAATTTACGAACATTCTCAAGAGACAAATTAACCGAATTAAGTCAGTCAAACAGACCCATACAATAAGTCCATAGACATATTTTCCCTGCTCTACCTATAGTTACGGTTCATCTGGCAACGTTGTCCCTTTCCACATCTGCGCATCGCTGCAACAAGTTATCGTTGATTTCGTG